CCCCAAAACCCCAAAACCCCAAAACCCCAAAACCCCAAAACCCCAAAACCCCTAGAGATTTGATCCATTTGAAAATTATTCAAAATTACGGTCAAGATACCATCTTTAGTAACTCTAATTATCATAATCGACCTCAAAGAAAGGATGAGTCAGTGCCTCTTTAGCCGAAATTCTATGTGTCGGGTACAAGGCTAAAAGCTTGTTGACCAAATCGGCTGCATTCTCATCCATTTCCTCAATTTTTAGCAGCCTCTTGGGGTATTTTGGCATCACGCTACTTATCATATCAGTGATTCCGGGGAAGGTTTCCTCATTTGGGGTTCCAAATGTTTTAAATATCTTTGTCACTAAATCAAGTTCACTTTCCACAAGGAAGAGAGGCTTTCCTAGGTAAAGCTCTGCGAAAATACAGCCAACTGACCATAGATCGATAGGAATAGAGTATTCTTTCATTCCAAGTAATAACTCAGGAGCTCTGTAAAATATTGTCACCACTTCAGGGCTCATGGGCTTTGAAGATGCGTTTAAGTTTCTAGAGATTCCAAAATCTCCGATTTTAACAGTTCCTTTATCATCAATAAAAATATTTTCAGGTTTTAGGTCTCTATGGATCGCGCAGCTACTATGCATGCTCTTAACACCCTCGAGTATTTGCCTCATGATACTCTGGATCTTCTCATTTGAGAGGGGTTTGTTCTCTTCAAGATATTTGTTAAGATCATTCTCCATATATTCCATGTAAAGATATAGTTTTGGTCTTGCATAAATAACTTCTTCCACCTTCAAAAGGTTGGGATGGTCAAGTTCCTTTAGCAAAGTCACTTCTCTGATAGCATTACTCGGGATTCCAAATTCTTCAAGGTTTGAAAATGTGACTGTTTTTCGAGCCCAGATCTTCCCGGTGGACTTTTCCTTGACTGCGTCAACTTGACCATAAGCACCCTTGCCCAGGTTCCATAGGGTTTCATATCTTTCTTCTCTATATAATGAATTTCAACATACTCTAGAACAAGATGCTAAAAAAGACGTTTATAGAACTTTAAAAATATGCTGAAACAGTTAAAAACAAAGGAATTTATATACCTTGGGAAGAGATCAAGCTCTACATCCTTCTGTTCTTCAGGCTCTCGAGGAGATTGGTTTGCGGAATCCATTTTTGATTTAAATAATCTGGCGACAATTTTTCACCTCGTTTGTGGGGTTTTGGGGTTTTGGGGTTTTGGGGTTTTGGGGTTTTGGGGTTTTGGGG